GCAGTCCTCTCACCTGTGATGCGATCCGGACTCTCGTCCTCGTCTTCATTGCGGTTCTTGAGTGATGTGCGACAAGTGGGACAACTGGTGTCCTGTTCTAACCACGACCTCAAGCACGAGTTGTGGAAGAGGTGACCGCACGGCAGCTTTCGGGCCGATTCCATGCGATCCCAACAAATAGCGCAGTCGTCGCTGTTCTTCTCCAACTCATCGCTGGTCGCCATCGGAAAGTTGGATTCCATCAGACGGACCACCTTTTGGACACACAATCACACATACAATGAGATAATGGTTTCAATGGATCACCGCATGACTCACTTGTAAATAATTCTTGTGTTTACGAATGCGTCGATTGATTTCGTAGAACAGGTACCGGAGTTGCATGAGAATGACCAGCGATGCCATCGATAAGATAATGTTCCCCCAGAACAACATATGCAAGTGATGGCAGAAGTCGATGGTGAGAGTGGACAACTCGAACACCAGTTCCGTGTAGTAGGCCATCGAAGCCCTGTTCTCCCAAACGCCCTCATAGTTAAGATCCCATAAGTGGATGGAGTAGCGGACGATCACAAACAGTGTCCTCACGGCAACCAGAGAGCACTCGGCGGTCATGAATGCGAATGTATTAATGCCGGCGTGTATTCCCACCAAAACACAGACCACAAAGAGGGACACAGAAGTGGTGAGAATCGCCATCAATAGGACGATGAGTCGAAAGTGCGTCCATTTGGGAGTCATTGGCGAAAAGGACAGGTACTCGAAGCGGTCTTTACATAATTGTGCCAATAGTGAGAGAAATCCGAGAATCGAGAACCAACTGCACCAGAGAACTACTTCATCCATGTATTGGACATTCATGACACCAAAAATGAATATGAATTTATAGAAGACGAAGTTCCAGAAGCGGTCTTTCATGTGCTGCTGCTCTGAGACTCGGAGTTCGCCGAACACCAGCTTTTGGATCACTTTCCCCACTAGTATTAGACAACAATAGGCGGAGTTAATGAGTGTCCAAATGCAGAGGGGCTCGTGAAACATGAGGTAAACCACGTCTATTAGTCTCACTATAAAGCCGCTCTCCAGGAGGACTCCCAAATGGAAAGACGTCTCATTGGCGTGACTGAGGCTCCCATTGGAGACCATCATATGCGACGAGAAGTCCGTCTCATTTGCGGTGATGTTGTTGTCGTTGGCGAGA